ATAAAAACAATATTAATTGTTCCGCAAAACCCTGCAAACTAAAGATTTTAAAAACGTCACGCGCGCATCATTTTGTACTATACTCTAATGAATTTCATACAAAAAGAGTCTTTTCCGTTTGTTTTTACGCAAAAACATGCTTTCTAAAAGCTCAAGGTGACCACAGTACGGACAAATGATAAAGAGTGGCGCTATTGTCGTATTTAGCTCGCTCTCGGTGGACGCCAGCGGCCCAAGTTTCGACGGCGAGCTTCCCAACTGAGTGTTCTAGTAACGTTGGTTCCCATAGACCTTTTGCTGAATTTCAAAAGCACCGAGGTGCATGCTACGAATGTAGTTACACGCGCTGCACCTGCTGGCGTCTGCAGTAATAACTGTTCTGAAGCAAAAAGCCTAAAACAAATTTTTCCGTGCACGCGCGTTCGTCAAAGATTTATTATGATTATTTACTTCAAATCTTTTATAAGTGGAAGGCCAGCGCGCGCGGATCGAAGAATTACACCTCCAGCGCTCTTCTCGATGTGCGGGTAATTTACTAATAGGTCAATTTTCAGTGGAGCCGAGTTACAGGTTTTTCAATTTATGACGGTGTTATATACAGTTGTTACATGCTGGCCAACCATGCTGCCGGTGTACCGCCCGCCTTTCACTGCTCACTTCTTCCTTATTGTTTCTAGGACTGTACTTCGTCGTCCTCTTTCGAACTCGAAAGGAAATTTCGACGAGGCTTTTCTTCAGTTCATGCAGCCAAATATTTAGAAAATTTCCAAACAAGGGTTAATTTAGTTTTACCTTACCGATTATTTGTACCACGAGCAATAAAAATTGTTTCTTAATTGCTCAAATGTATGCCGCGCTGCGTCGCAAAACCAGGCAGCGCGCATTTTTTGGGTTCCCCCAATTTCGGGAACCTTTCCACGGAAGCCACGCATATTCGCTACAGCCAGTTGGTGACACCAGCTACCACCCCAGAATAAAACACGGAGCTATCGCTCATCCAGCCCTAGTCAAACTTGGCTAGGTACTTGTAAGTACCTAGTAGGGAAGAGCGGTTAACTTTTAACCCCGCTTAAAGTTAACCGGCTTCGAGCAAACGGTCCCAGGAGGTTCTGAAGCGCGACCTTTCGCTCAAGGCTACGAGCTAAGCCGCGTTAGCTGCTGAGCCGCATAGCTGGGGGAGTCGGCCACCGACTCCCGAAGCCTTTGGCACCAACGTTTTATCGCTTTTAAGCAGAACACGTCAACGTTAATTTAAGGAAACTGATTTATTCACCGTATTGACAATTGAATCTAAAGAGCCCACCCGCGCTCAATCATACCTCGGCCGTAGTTTCGATGTCGTTCGCTTCTATCTTCAGTGAATCTCATACTCCTTCTTTGTTTTATTCTTAATACTTTTTTTACACTTCGAAAGTACAGAAACTATAACAATTGCAGTGGGGACAAAGGCAGCCTTTGTATCCACTGCACTCTTCGAATGCGTTAGAGCGCGGAACGCCGGCGTCCGGTGTTTGGCTTTCGCATTCGAACGCGTTCAAGGAGTGATGCGGAGACAAAGGTCTACCCGCTAGTCATTCCACCCGGAGCTGGGCGTTCTGACGTCCCCAAGACTCCTTCTCTCCCTCAGTTTCTGTCCACATAGGGTAGACGAGCACGTGCAGCACGTGTACCTACGTTTCTAGCATTCTCTTTGGTGCTTGGTAATCTAGTGAAAGGTCTATTCTCTTGGGCTAGCCCAATTCATGTTCTCCCCTATACGACCAATGAACTCTCCTGTGCGATAAAAACCTCTACTACGCTTTAACTACGCAATCTCCTTCCCTTTTTCTCTTTAATTAGTTCGTAAACCTACGAGTCGTCGGCACCAGGGGCAATTCAGAAAGCATCGCTCGCGCGCTGCGCATGAGTATGCCATATCGAGGGGCGTTACGTGAAACCAGAGCTGTGTATACCGGGTGATTCAAGGAGACGGCAGGCTCTTTAAATCGACCGCAAAATTCGTTTCTTAACCTATCGCGCTACGACTTTGTGCAGCGTTGCCCATAGAAGGTGAATTTTTTTATCTAAAATTTGCGAAGAGCGAACTTATTTGAGGAAAAAGTGAAGAAGGAGAAAGGCTTAGCTCCTATAGGAACGCAGCGAAGCCACCGGTCTTCAAACAACACGGCGCCGTTTCGCACGGGAGACAAGAGATGGCGCAAGCGATCGCGACGCGAACTGCCGTTAACGAACGAGCAGACGACGCCGAGAGCCGGCGTATTTAGCAGACAAGGAACTACAGTTCCTTGTTGTTACCGCACCTGTTTTTATTTCTGCGACTGTCTCCGTTTGCAGAACGCGCGCCGCTTTTGAGTCGAAAATATTGTCTGCTAAAGACGCCGGCTCTAGGCGTCTTATGCTCGTTCGTTAACGACGTTCGTTGCGCCATCTCTTGTCTCACGTGCGAAACGGCGCCGTGTTGTTTGAAGACCGGTGGCGTCGCTGTGTTTCCATAGGAGCTAAGCCTTTTTCTTTCTTTACTTTCTCCTCGGGTAAGTTCGGTCTTTGCAAATTTTACGAAACAAATGCACCATCTGTGGGCAACGCTGCACAAAGTCGTAGCGCGGTAGGTTAAGAAACCGAATTTTCCGGTCGAATTAAAGAGCCTGCCGTCTCCTTGAATCACTTGGTAGAAAGCATTTAGTCAATGGCAGGCGCGGGCAGAGCCAGGGCGTGCACCAGACTCAAAAAAAGGGCTTGACATGCCCTCTTGACCAACCAGAAGCCGAAAAGAATATCCTAGCGGTTGTGGAGAGAAACAATTTTAATCCTAGGTATATGGTTTAATAAGTGCGTAAAAGTTAAATGTAGAAACCATTCATGCTTGAAAATAGGGTGCACGTGACGGTTTAATAATGATTATGCAGAAAGCTGTAAAAAACAAATGCACCGCTCGAACTGTTTTTCCCATACAGAGTGTGACAGCTCGGACGGCAGATTCCCGGCCCTCGACGCCTGGCGTACGGATTATGTCGATCGTTCCGCTGGTCGCGCTCTTCCACGATGATTTTGGGTGACTGTGTGTCGATAGCCACTGGGAAATGAAGAAGAAGATCGCGTGAAATTAAAGAGCCAGATCAATTCGATTTCGGAATTCATCAGACGTAGTCGCTTTTCGTCCGTTTGTCTCCCTTTAAAGGGCCCCTGAAAAGAAAAAAAAGTTTTTTTTAAACAGTCTGGTTGGGACACGCGTGTCAAAAAATGAATTTTACGCGAAAAAAAAAAAAATTTTTAGAGCAATATTGACGGCGAGAGATTTATTTGAAATTTTGCGCGCAAATTCCAGGTCATTCAGCTCGGCTTCTCATTGGTAACCATGGTCATTCAAATCGGCTTCCAATTGGCCAATAGAATGAGTGACAGCTTAGATGTTGGTTATAAAATCTTCGTGATCTCTTGAGATCGCCTTTTGAATGACATATTTTTTGGTTTAAGAAAGAATCCATCGAATGAATGTCGCAATTGCTTACAAACGTTTGACGAAATCGTAACTTCCGTTCGGATACTACAACAAAACAACAAACAAACGCTTCGCCATTTTGTTTTCTGTCATGGTCGCCGTCGTTGTAACGCGTCTCGCGTACCTCGGGTGGTTTTATAGTTTTATCGCGTTTATATGTGAAAACCTTCAACAGAGGGCTTGTTGCTTGTGTTAGTTAGTCATCCTAAGTACTTAGGAAGTGGCGCGGTGTGACAGGTTTTTGTTTTCCTGCTTTTCTTTGCGTGATTCGTGTGCCCCGTTTACCCCATCTTTTGTATGTTTTCTGGCGCGCGCCAGTGCCAATTTTTTTTTTAGATGTCGGTTCCCGTAAAGAGTTTAGTGAAGGCACGCGGCACCGCACTCAACGTTTAATAAAAAAATGAGTCACCACTGCATGTCCTCGCGGCGGCTTGAAGGGTCGTGCGGCTCGGACGAACTCGTCGAGGCACCCGCTTCGCCGCCTTCCGCGGCGAAGTAGGTGCCTCCTCGCGAGCGGTTGTCTCGCGGCGATCGGAGCGGACGCCTTCCGGCTGGCGAGGCGTGTCCTCGTACGGGCGAAGGCCCAGCTGCTGGCAGCGTTGAAGGGTTGAAGCAACCGACGCTTCAGGTCGGGGTCCATCGTGCACGATACGACGCGGTACGTCGTGCGACCGGCAGACACAGGGACTGTGTTCAAATCTCCAAATGGATCCGAGTTATTCCGGCGGATCGTATCACGTGACAGCACAGATTGAAAAACGCTGTACGCGGGTAGGTTTTAGAACGCCAAGGGTACAAAACTCTAACCCTGGGGTAAGATCGAGTAAATTCTGGAACACGGCCAGGAAGTAGCAATGGCTCTCGTGCGGGGCGCAGCCAAGCCGGGAAAGTAGCCAAGCCGATCCACTACGAAGAGGCGGGGTGTACCTCTCCTCCACGCGCCCGAGATGCTGAGAGAGAAAAAGGTGGAAAGGAGGTGACTGCCGACTAAATTCCGTCTGGCGCGGTCAATATTGCTCTAAAATTTTTTTTTTTCGCGTAAAATTAATTTTTTGACACGCGTGTCCCAACCAGACTGTTTTTAAAAAAACTTTTTTTTTTCTTTTCAGGGGCCCTTTAACCGTGACTGAAACATATTGCACAACATTTTAAGTCACCGAGAGTTACTCCAACGCGCTTATTAATTTTGTTTCTCGCGACCACCGCCAGGGTATTATTTCCGGCTTCTGGTTGGCCACATTCGAATTTCTAAAGACTTTCTGGAACACGCCCAGCACGCTTTCGGCCAATGGTGCCTCCTCATTTGTCTACTATGCTTCCCAATGAATGTCCAAACTCTCTACATATACGGCTCTGCGTGAAACCAGTGCTGCCGCCAGCCTTCTTTGTCCTTTATGAATCTACTTAGCACCGAGTTAGTTTCTAGAAAGGAATCTGATCAAATGCGTTCCTTTGAATGGACGAAGTTAAACGAAAGAAGACTTGACTGGTGAACACTAACCGTCTTTTCCAGTTGATACACGCTTTCGTGAGGCTGGTCCCAGAAGTTCCCGCCCATTGGCGTCTCTCAGGCCTTCTCGTACGTCGACTGTATACGTTGTGCCAGGCATCAGGTCGACGATACTTACCGACCCGGGCGTGAAAATTGTTTTACAGACGCCATCTTTGTTGCAGTATCGCACTTGATAGTGAGAGTAGCGGCTAGGCGCAACCCTCACTTCGAATGAAGTCATGGTAACGTTTAGCACTTCGAAGAACAGAGGATCTGAAACACCAAAATGAAAATATGATATTTCAATTCTCTATTTAAAATTGTTATGAAGATGAAGACCGCGTAGCTGTTAGCTCGCAAGACCATCGTGCGTTAGGTTTCTCGTGCTGGCCCTGCCGCCATAAAATACATTTAATTTTTCAACACCTCATGGCGTTCTGCCAGTTTCTGCGATCCGCCTCATAATTCTTAAAACGCAATACCTTCCGAAAATTTTGAACATATTTTTTGCAAAAGTAGTAAATATTGAGCTTGTTAATGTGGAATCATTCAGTTTTCCGCCCAAGACCAGGCGGTGTTTTGAGCTACAGGAGCCTACTAACATTAAGCGATTCACTAATAAGGTAAAAATGAGACCTGATCGATGTTTTTTTTGTTTTTTTTAAATAATATATTTGTTGACACTGTCACCAGATCTGAGGAAGAGTTCAAATATGAAGGCGCTTTGTGCAACACCAGACTATTTTGTAGAAATATCGTACATGCGTGTGTGACTGAGGACAAAGAACACTTACGTCGGATCGGAGAGGTTTGTCGCACATGGGCCTCGTGTTTTAGGTTACATCTACTCCGTGCCTATGATCTGCTTCGCCTGCCCGCTGTCACGGCTGGCTTTCGGCACGATCGACGCAACAAACCAAGTGCAGATACACGCGCACATTCCTAACACGACGGAAGACAACAAACGCGTGCTGGAAGCAGGCTTACTCAAACCGGTGCCATTCTCGGCGTTCCTGCATACGGCGCATGACACGCTCACTTTCTAAAGCCTCGCTATGACGACTCGCTGTAGACGGCGCTCCCGGCGCGATTTCTAGAGCGTCCGCCACTTGCCGACTTCCTACTGGAGGGGCGAGTATTAAATTCTGAAATTCACCTGTTCGACACAGACCCAGGGGACGCTGCCATGTAAATATGGGGCAAACAGCCGTGTAATGTGCCAATGCCATGGCAAAGCGGTTATTTGCGCCATATTTACATGGCGGCGCCAATTAAATGAGTATCCAAAATAACGGTGAGTTTGCATGCGGGCAAGCTGATGATAGGTAATGATGCTGCAACACCTGAGAGTTTGGTACAAAAAGATTAGCCCGTGTTCTTGTGGTAGGGTTTAAATGTCAAAGCAATAGTATAAAAAGGGTCAATGCACAGGTTTTTATTATGTAGCGAAAGCACGCACGGTGCTTGCAAGCTTCCTAGGTTTAGAAGCATCGAATAAAAATGGTGAAGGTGAAAAATTGTCATTGCTCTTCCATCCAGTTTCATTTTGGCGTGTCCATTTCCGTGACATTCCACGGCTTAAAATTTCCTAACCGGAGGTACTTTGCAGAGTTTCTTTGTCGAATGTTGAGCTCTCATCCGTCGAATTTAATTTCTAAAAGCGTTTGGAATAGAAATAGGAAGAGCCAGTGCTCCCATTTGCACAACTGCCAGAGGGGATGATGTGCGAAGTGAGCATCACGTGCACGGAGCGCCTATTCTGAAAACTAGGAAAATCCCAACAAAGTAAAACACTGTGCGAATATAAAGTGCATACATCGCCAAAGTCAGAGCAAATAGCAACATCTTCAACGGTGCACACAGGTTTGCGTAGTAAGCGGTGACTTTCAGATGTGTAATCATCGCCTTAATTGTACGGCCGCGACGGTCAAAAAGTTAGTTAACTGTTAGGCAAAAGAAAAAGATCAGAGTATCAAGACAACAGGGGGAGTCTTTCTGTCCTCGGCTACTTCCGTTACACTTCGCTATATATAGTGAGTGCAGGCGAACTACTGTTGCATGTTAAAGCTTGCTATATTGAAACCGATAATACAAAAATTACAAACTGACTAATATATTTTTGATACATTTGAAAAGACTAAAGCAATTTTTAAAAGTCGGGTGCATAAAATTAAGCCGTGGTTCGTAAATAAATTATTTCGATTGCAAATAATGCAATTAACTATAGCACATTATGAGCCCGTTCTTGAAGGAATATACCAAATATGTAATATAGTATATGTAGTGGCGCTGTTAGAGCGAAATTACATAATTGACATCACCTGTGTAATTGTCCTCTAAGACCGTAAGTTTACCAGCACGCTGTATTTCCATGAGAATATATTTAGTCTTTTAAATACTATATTAAAAGCTACTGAACGATATTTGATTTATTTCGTGCAATCATTTGTTATCGAATTTAGGATTGAAGTAAGTATATTTTTGGTGGCAACGTTCTACATGTAGTATAATTTGTTTTTGCTTACTTCGAAAACTTCTTAGCGTATGCTAATAGGTGTCTGGTTTTCCAAATATTAGTTCTAAAATTAAGAACAATATATCGATTTTTTTTAAATTATTCTAGTAGTCGTTAGACACGCATGACTATTAATTTTAAATTTAATACGTATCGTGGGTCACACTAAAAATAAAATCTTTTTCAACGTACGATCTGATGGTTTGAAAATGGGCGTCACAATTCCAGGCGTGCATTTTCCCATGCCACAGCTCTTAACACGGACTGATACAATTGAGGATGAAATCAGCTTATGAAACGTTATGTTATACGCTGGCGCCGCATTGTGTTCTGCCGTCACATTAATGAGGACTTCCTGTGGACTCAGGAATGCATTGTTACTTGCGACCTGTAAAAGAAAATGTGACGGGGTAGAGTTAGGCGACAGTCATCGACGTCTGCGAATGTCACATAACTATAGGGCGACCACAGTGGATCTTGCGCTCTAAAACTAGCCGGAAATTCAGTGACTGCACATAAAAAGTTCGAAATTTCACCGAACACGAATTAAACAGGTGGATTATAGCAGCTGGTGAATTTTAAAGGTATCGCTTCCTTACTGTAATAAATTAGACCAAACACCAGTGTCAATGACGAGCGACACGCACACGACCGAGCTAGCGATGGGAATTGCTTCTTGCGCCATGTCTCCATAAGGGCTTTAAGCAGATAACTTGAGCCCTGCGTGGATAAAAATTTGATCATCCGATCCACATGTGCTGACTTTGTATCCGCAGCCGAACCGCATCCGCAAAATTCGGAACCGCATCAGACCCTCAATCAAGGCATTTATTAGAGCGCAGCTCTTAGGCGCCCGTTTCCGGCTTGAGCGGCGTCGGCGTCGCCGTCGCTGTCGCCGTCGGCGTAGGCGTAACCAAGGTCCCCCCAAGGTCACCTGATCCCCAGGACACGTGACCCCCCAAGGTCATGTGACCCCTCTCAAGGTTACCCCAAGGTCACGTAACCCCTCCCAAGGGCACCCCAAAGTCACGTGACCCCCTAGGTCACGTGACCCCCCAGGTCACGTGACCCCCAAGGTCTCGTGGCCCCCAAGGTCATGTGAACCCTCCCAAGGTCACGTGAACCCCAAGGTCTCGTGACCCCCCGAGATCACGTGGCCCCCCAGGTCACGTGGCCCCCCTCCCCGAGGTCACGTGACCCCCCCCCCCCCCCCCCGAGGTCACGTGACCCCCTCCCCCCGAGGTCAGGTGACCCCCCCGGAGCATATTAAAGAATGAGGGGAGGAGGAGGAGAAGGAGGAGGAGGAGGGGTCTACCCTCCCCTCAGTATCCTTCCCTCCTCCTCCTCAAGAGCTGCGCTCCAATTCGGCCTTACAGTGAGTTGTAAACGGCTTTCACTTTTTTTTGCTTCATACCATTAGGCGGAAATAAATATAAATGAAAAAATTTTTTCGATGGTATGCTTTAAGCCTTATGCTTAGCTTTGTATAAAGAACTCTACGTGTCAGAATACGGTGAAATCACTTTATCATATTCGATTTTATAGTATTTATAACATAGGCAATCATCCGTCCAGAGAAACTTCGCATCGCTCGAAATATTACCGCAGATATGAGATCATCTTAGAAGTCCGCGACACTGGCACTTTGTCCAGAATGTGCACTCAAAAGGAAGGATATTTTAATACTTATTTACTTCTTTTCTTTGTAAAACCCACTTTAAGGATACATATATTTTATAAACGTGAAAATTAGCAAAGCGCGGGTTAATACCTTTGTGCTATTTTATTTAGGCCAAACAATACAAAAAAGGAGGCAGAAAAAAGGCACTCACTCACCGCAGAAAAATACTCGCATGTATGTGAAAAGGCGCGAGTACACCACTCGGAAAATAACGCAATATTCAATAATGGCGACACCTCATATCAGTTTCAGTTTTGAACACGAACCCTCACCTGCACGCGCGAACGCGAACCTCGCGTACGAAAACGTTCTACAGACACTTTAAGATTTATGCGACGAGAGTTTTTTCACACAAGACGGTCAGAGAGTAAAAGAATTCGCAAGCCTTGAATGATAAAGGAGCCTGTGAAAAAAGTACATGAAAAAATAGTCTGTTTCAGCATTTCTTGAAACAAAGACACCCAAACAATTTAAAGAGCTTTAAAACGTACTGAAATAAACTTGTTAATCTACAGAGACGTGCGAAATCCAGCTATCACATAAACCTCTTCAAAAACGGAGATAATAAAGAAGGTACTTTTGTGTGTGTTCTCTGTCGAATTCAGGGTTGGGCAGTATCGCGATAGTATTTCAGAAATACATTTCGTATCTGTATTTCTGTATTGCGATACATTTTTCTCACCGGTATCTGTATTCCTGTATCGAAATACATTTGGAATGTTTTTTTTGTATCGCGATACAATCAGGATGAAGTGTATTTCGTTACAGTTCCTGAGAAATACTCCCCTCCGAAAAAAAGAAACAAGTCCGAACGCATTTTTGTTCTACTTCTGAGGGCACCAGAGTCAAGGAGATGCTGGGGCATTGTAACTATGCTGACCAAGGTTCCTTTTGATTCTGCAAACTATTTTTCTATGCGTCCTCTTCTTTCTCCTGAGCATTGTTGCGTAGTCGGGGACTCGAACCAGGTGGCGTGCCAGGAGTGGAGTCAGAGCATCTTCTGCCGCAGGTCCTTAGGTAGGGATTTCTTGAGTCATTGTCTGCAGGCATCCAATGCCCGCTGCTAACCGTCTCTCTCGCCTTAGCGTACAGAGTACACCCAGCCGGCAAAGCTCAGTCACATTCCGTTGCAGCACGAGCCTGGCGGTGGTTGACTTGAAATAGTAGGAAGACTCACGCTGTGAAGTTCAACACTTGTTCGAATGCATCTGCGGCTGTGCCCGTAACATTGCGCGGCTCAAGGGTACGTCATCAGCCGACGTGAACGTGACCCGCTTCTCTGGTGATCCGAAACCCAGGAGGCCAGAAGTGGCCTCGCTGTGCCACCCCAGACTACGTACTCCCGCGACTCGTCTCGAGACCGCTGTTTCTCGGAGAGCTCGCACCTTTGCCGGCAATATCAGCTCGCACTCCACGAGGTCTCTGTTTGGATAATGCTAGGCAAAACTTGAGGACTGCAATCCGTGCGTCGGTGGTGGAGGGTCGGCAGTAAGGTCCTTCAGAACAGGGATGCTACCGTATCGTTTTTTTCAACCGTAACAGAAGAAGACATGTATTCCAAGATACTTCAGGTGGTCTACTATTCTCAAACATTCCAAATGACACTGCCTGCACGATCTTCAACTAGGTAACCTACAACGAAAGTACCTATTGTCCTTTCATACAGCAGTGTGGTAAAGTTTTATGTTCAAGGCCACACCTACAGATAAAGAATAGTAGTTTATTCCACCGTGACATCACGTGATCAATGTTGACAGGATTCCCTCATCAGACAGACAGGACGTCATGGAAGGGACCGCGGTCAGCCCTTGATGGAACGTTTTTCTGGGCCCATTGAAGACTCCTTGTCGTCCGAAACCACTACCTTCAAGACAAAGTGCCAAGCCTACAGGAAAGTAATTTCGGGATCGAAAACATCCACTTCAAGCTTCATCTCAGTTGGCGTCTCAAAAAATTTTGAAAATGTATTGCACTATCAGTATTTCTGTAGTTGTATTTCTCCCCTCCCTAAAATGTATTCCTGTATTTATATTTCCACATACTTTTTGCAACTTTTTAAAATGTATTTCCGTTACGTATCGCGATACATTTTTACAGATGTATCTTAGTATCAGTATTTTTGATACTATTTTAATGTATCCCAGTATTTGTATTTCCAAATACATTTTTGAGTATTTCTGCCCAACCCTGGTCGAATTGTTTTAATAATTACCTAGCAGATGACGTTGCTGCATTTGAAAATGAACTTGATCTCTGCAGGTCATATCAAACGTTATTACACAAAGTCTTTATTTTTACATCCAACGGATGAAAGGGAGGTCTGTGCCATGTTCAAAAACTTAAGAAATTGCAAGAGTAGTGATGTTAATGGCTTTTACATTAAAGTAATCAGGTATGCTATAGACATAACTGCGCCTGTATGAACGTATATATTTAACGTGTACTTTTCAACTGGTCTTTTTCCAAATGCCGAGCAGATTGCGAAAGTTTTGCTTATGTTTAAAGGAGGCGATAAGAACCTATCTAAATATTATAAACCGAGTTTCTTATTGTAATTTTTTTCTAAAGTTCTCGAAAAAATAATGCGCCACAGACTTTCTTGTTATTTAGAAAAACGACACATACTCTGACTTTCAACACAGTTTTCGGAACAAGTGTTCCACTGAAACAGCGCTGCCAAATCAAAAGAATAAATAATAAAATTTATTGAGGATAAAGATCTTATTCTAGGTGTGTATGCTGGCCTTTCTAGGGCCTTTGACTTAATTAATCATAGCGTACTAGTAAAAAAAGTTAGAGAACTATGGTATTCGAGGAACTGGACTTAAACTTCTTGAATCATATTTGGGATATCGAAAGCAGTTTGTTAGCAAAAATAATCATAATTCAGCAACCAAAAGAATTGTGAATGGAGTCCCCAGGGGATTGTACTTGGGCCGCTGTTGTTTATAATATTTATAAATGATATCAATCAATACGCACCAAACGTCAGGTTTATTTATTTCATACGCGGACGATACCACTCTTTCTATTAAAGGTCAAACAACTTCTAGGATCGAAAGTGCCGCGGAAGTTGTTCTCGGAAACCTACACTTGTAAACGCAAGTTAATGTACTAAAAAAAAAAAACACAAACAAAACTAAATACGTACTGTTTAGGCCACAAACTGTAAAGCATCGCTGACTTTAAATATTTCAATCAATTAATAATATTTAGATGTTGCGAAATCCGTTTAAATTATTGGTGTAGTTTTTACTGAATCACTTTCTTCGACTGAACACGCTGAGAACATGCATCGAAAAGTTTTCAAAGCGATAGGAATAACATCTTAAACTCGTTTTATGTTTCCCACAAGAGGGAAGTTGCTCTTGTATTATCCCCTGAAATACACACATTACGTGTATTGTCACCTGGTTTCAGGGAAGACAACCACAGAAAACATAAAAACACTCTTTCTAACACAGAAGAAAGTATTTCGCATAACTAAATATGTTTCTTATTTGCTATCGTCTGAGGAGCTTTTGCAAAAACATAAAGTTGTGACAATCAATCATTTATACAAATATCGTTTGATGCAAGTCAACAAGATGGCAGTAAAACAAAATAACAACTTTTTTCTTAGCGTGCTGTCGGGCTTGGTGAGAACAAACCAGACGTATGGAACTAGAGGTAGCGAAAATTGGTGTCTTACTACTCCCCGTACTAAC